CACATGCTATCATCCAGTCAAATTGGTCTTTCTTCTGTTCCTCAATAGTGGCACTCTTTCTCTCTTTCCATACCTTCATACTGGCTATCTCCCTATGTCTGGAATGTTCTTCTTCCTCAACTCCACTCTGTAGAATTCTTCACTTCCTTCTAAACTCAGCTGAAACATCACCTACATTAAGCCTTTTCTTATTCCTGAAACTGCTAGTACCCTTTGTCTCTAACTACTTTGTATTTATCTACCTTTTATTTATTCTCTTGGGGCTATCTCTAGCCATCCTGAGCTATATTTTGCCAGTGGACCCAGGTGGCTCCTGAAGAGAAAGTGAAGCTGGTGACTTTGTAAAGTTCTGCCTCACTTAAATCTAATTCACTTGCAAGTCGTGGCATCACCATCCTGATGTCATGGTCCTGTTCAAGAATGAAGGATAAAGAACAACATTTATTCTCTATATGCCTATACATGTATATGTCTCCTTGGAAGAAATAAGACTGTTGAGTATAAATCCTTTGAGGTAGGAATGTTTACATTTGTTGTTTCCCTAGAATTTAGCGTAATGTCTGACACACAACAGGTGCTTAATAAATGCTTGTTGATTGACTGATCACCTACTGATTACTCTCTCTCTCCACTTACTTATGTAGCTTCTTGATCAGCAGATGCACAGACCGCCATTTTTCACACTCAAAAACTTTCCATTTTGGTAGGATCTGGCATAAGTTTGCATTCTACTAGCAAAGCCTTTAAGAACCTACAGTCTCCTCTAGGCTATGATGAAGTCTTGGAGTAGTGGCTTTAGTAATTTCTAAATTGATAACCAGGTCTAGACGATTTAATTGTTGGGTTCACCAGCAAACAAGTCTCATTCCCTGTCATCAGATAACAGAAACCTGATTGTCCTGGATTCATAAAACTGAAGACTTGGAAGTATACTACTCCAAAGGGTTAGGAATCTTCTTTTCACTGTCCTTTCCTTTTATCCCAAGTTGATTCAGGTTGTCATTGTTGATTATATGAATTCCTTGTCTCTTTCTTCATGTTCTTTGACAGGCCATGTACCGTAGTGGATAGGGCACTGGGGTTGGGGTCAGAAAAACCTGGTTTCCAAACATGCCTCAGACATTTACCTGGGAAAATCTTAAACTTTCAATGCCTCATTTTTCCCATCTATAAAATGAAGGGACAGGACTTGGTGGCCTCTATAGCACCTTCCAGTTCTATCGATAGGATCCTAAAATCCTACTTGAGGTTAAGCTCTTGGGTTTCAGTGGACTCTTGACAATAGTCTTCACATGATTTTGGCTTGAGAAAGCTAACCACATGCTAGGAGATGGGGGTTTGTTTTCTGAATTCTCAGGGACCCAATTTCCTTATCTATAAAATGGGTTGGTAGAGTTGAGCTAGTTATCCTCTAAGATTCTTTCCAGCTCCAAATGTATGTTCCTGTCATCCTATTCCCAGCGTGTTTCCTAGTAATTATCTGCTTTTGTACCCTTAACTACAAAATGGCTGTTACATTCCTTTTTTTCAGAATACTTCTACATACAACCACAATGGGCCTAGAGCAGGGGTGGGGAACCTGCGGCCTCATGCCACGTGTAGTTGAGTGGCAGCATGGTTACCACAGCCAACAGAAGATGTTGGCAAGTGGGATGGTTGAGGAGTGACAGGGATAAAACCTTTATATATAAAGATGTAAGAAGCATAGTGTGATGTAGCCATATGTCCAGTAAAGACCTTAGCACTGAATTATCTTGTTCATTCAATTTAAATCAATATGAAGTAGCAAGATGAGAGGCAGGATAGAGTTATAGATAGAGCTTGGAGTCAGAAAGACCTGGGTTCAGATCCTGTCTCTGACAAATATTGGCTATGGAGAAGTCATTTAACCTCTGAATGTCAGGAAGTCAACAAGCACATATTAAGTGTTCATTACATGCCAGTGTACCAGAGTCCCCTATATTAATGAAATTATGTCCTGCTCCCCAAAACAAACAGACAATATATAAGTAGCCCAAAGACTATCTGTAGCTTATCCCCTTGCTAGGTACTGGGGAAACAAATTAAAAACGAAACCCCTGAATTTTAGGAATTTATTTTGAAATGAAGGGAAATAAGATACGAACAAAGATGGAGATTGGACCTACAATTTCACTGCCACTTTCCTAGTGATGAAATTCACTCTACTACTTCAAGTTGGCACCATTTATTCAGCTTATATTCTTAGAGAAATTGTCAAAAACCACTGAGACATTATGTGACTTACCCAGGATTACACAGACAGAGTCTGTGTCTTGAGTCAGAGTCTGGACTTGAATCCTGACCTTCCTGGCCCTGAGGTAAGCTCTTATCCCCTGTGCTATGCTGACTCTCAAAAAATATGTAAGTAAACGAATAAAAACTAAGTATATGCAAAGTTATATGAGTCATTTCAAAAGAGAGAGGGTGCTAATAATGGAAAAGATCAGGAAAGTCACTGTTCATGCTGTAGAATTCATGTATAATTAGGATACCAGAACAGTCATAGGAAAAAATAATGTTCAGCATAGAGAGGTATTTGACAAGCTTGCATGTATTTGTCTTAAAGCTAGAGATCCAGTAGAGGTTAATGTCCAGATTTCTATTGTCAACTTCAGCCATTTGTTTGTTCAAGACAAATATACCCTGCCTTCATTGGCCCGTTGTATGTGTCAGTAAGTGATAATATAATTAAATTTCTCTCACCCTGCCTATACTTATTCCATTCCTCAGGAAGAAGATAGAGTTAGCCAATACTTTCCCACTCAGTTGATTACAATCACGAAATTAACTTCACAAATTATTACCCTAGTCAACTGGTTTGTGAACAGGACTCCAGTTAGAAGATTAGGGAAGACTAGAATTCACATCTTGTTACACAGATTTGCTTGCTATGTGACTTAATATCTGCCAGCCTCAGGTCTTTCATCTGTAAAATGGGAGTACTGGTAGCACTTAGCTCCCAGGGTTGTTCTGAGATTTAAATGTGCAAACCTCATGGCTACAGATAGTCTTTGGGCTACTTATATATTGTCTGTTTGTTTTGGGGAGCAGAACATAATTTCATTAATATAGGGGACTCTGGTACACTGGCATGTAATGAACACTTAATATATGCTTGTTGACTTCCTGACATTCAGAGGTTAAATGACTTCTCCATAGCCAATATTTGTCAGAGACAGGATCTGAACCCAGGTCTTTCTGACTCCAAGCTCTATCTATAACTCTATCCTGCCTCTCATCTTGCTACTTCATATTGATTTAAATTGAATGAACAAGATAATTCAGTGCTATGGTCTTTGCTGGACATATGGCATTCCAAACCAACAGAAATCTGATACACATACTTACTAATTCAGGACTACCTCCAAATACCATCATATATAATAAAAATCTGATATAAGACAGGTGGCATTTTTGTCCTTTCAATCTAGAGCTTAAATAGGATTGCTGAGTATGCGTTGATCCCCTGAGTACTGATGATAACAATGGAAAGCTTCTTCTTCAGTTGGCTGTGCCCACATCCATGGATATTACAACAATAGTCTGAATTATTTAAGCACATATCACAAGACAAATCTGAGCAGTCAGTGTATTAAAAAAAAAAGGCAAATGGCTATTTCCTGAGGAGAATATCAGGAAATACAATTTGTCAACAGGGATAGCATCAGCGAAACTAAAACACTGTGGGGCCCACCATCCTTAATGTCTGTTTCATTCAGCTATGGGTTCCAACTTATTACTGGGAATAAACAATTAAAGGGCCCTCATAATAAACTCATTTCTCCATATTCTTAGGGAAAGAGGAGAAGCGGGGAAAGACCAAAGCTCCTCCATTTCCTTCCTGAGGCGGAGAGGGAGGAATCCCTGGTTTAGTCTGAAACTCTAGGTGCTCCATTGTGCCCTAAACATGGACAGCTTCGGCCTTTGCCTAGACCCAGTGTTGTTGATTCTTGTTGGATTTAGTTCAAGGGGTAGGTCCTTGCCAGACCCACCTCGGTCCTTCTCCCCCCCCCCCACAATAAGGCCACACAAAGAGAGGTCCTGCCCTACATGCCACCCGAGGGGGTATCCTTCTTTCAGGGTTATTCAAAAAAGTCCCAGGCAAGTGGTAGCCAGAATGAGAAACGGAAAAGGGGGTTGAGGGGTGGGGCAGGAGCTATGTGACTACATAAGTGGGTAGTAAGATTTTCCCCACAGACTCTGCCCTTTGGGTATTCCTATGACCCCTACAGACATGGCCACAACCATGCTGAAGGGGAGTGGGCAAAGGGGACCACGGTGACAGGATTGAGAAAGGCCCTGTCACAGACTTGTCTTATTGCTTCCCTTTTGAACCTACAGTCTCAGGGAAGACCAAACTTGCCCTTCACCTGGAGCTCGCAGAGGATGAAAGGCGCTCTCCTGGTGTTGGAGAGAGGACTGGCAGAACTGGGGGTGCCCGAGAGGGTATTTCCAATGTCCTTAGATGCCTTTGGTTTCTGTAGCCCATCTGAGCGTGTCTAGCCCGCACCTTTCACGGCCAGCAAGAGCGTTGTTAACTCGTTGCACTAGGCTGGAGATGGCCTTGTCCCCTGACCAGGCCTGCTCAGCCCTGCTGCGGCTGTCCTAGCATTCTGGGTGCCCCCGGGAACCCCGCGAGCAGGGCTGGGGAGGGCAGAGGAGGGGCGGAGGGGGCGGGGACTGGGAGGAGGCAGAGGCAGAGGGGGCTCCGCTGTGTGCATGCTGATGAGTTCCGAGGCTGCCGCGTCACTCCGCACCGGCGCTGTGGCTGTGGGGAGGGCTGGAGCCGGCAGAGGCTGAGAGCGCGCGGAGCCTGAGAGCCCGCCGCCTCGCCCTCTCTAGTCTTCCTCCTCGGTCCCTTCACCTCTGGACCTGGCCCTAGCCAGCCCAACCCCGGAGGCTTCAGCAGTACCCTAGTGTCCCCGGGCCCAGCCCTCCCTACTCCCAAAGCCTCGGCTCCCCACGTCCTCGTCTCCCTGGGGCTGCAGGCTAGGCTGCGCCCCTCCGAAGGATGCCGGCTGCGCTCCGTGCTGCGCCCAGCGCCCTGAGCTCGGGGCTGGGCAGCGGCGGCTCGGCGGGAGGGCGGCTGTAGCTGCGCAACCCCCGGGCTGTGGGCCAGAGGCGGTGGCTGGGGCCGCAGGTGTGACTGGGCCAAAGGGAGCAACGTAGAGTGGTGCTGAAGGGGACAGCTCCCACCGGCTGCGCTCCGGGAGCTCGGCACTCCGCCCTTCCTTGCCCCGCCCCTCCCCGTCCAGGGTCCAGCCGCGAACAGCGGGCACAGCGGGAGCAGCGCGGACTCCGGCGCCAGCCCATGGTGCCAGGGGCTGCTGGCCGCGCAGAAGCTGCGGCGGCCAGCGGCGTGGCGGGGATGCCCCGCGGGTGAAGCAGCCCCCGCCCCAGCCGCGTTCATGGCGGTGGCCAGGAAAATCAAAACTTTGCTGACGGTGAATATCCTGGTGTTCGTGGGCATCATTCTCTTCTCCGTCTATTGCCGGCTGCAGGACCGCTCCCAGGAGCTGGTACAGATCGTGCGCAGCGCCGACCGCCGGGTGCGCAGCCGGCACGCCAGGGCGGGTGTGATCCTGGACCGGGAGGCCATCCTGCAGCGGCTCGACCACCTGGAGGAAGTGGTCTACAACCAGCTCAATGGTGAGCGGCGCACGGGACCAGGCCAGCGGCGGGGAGGAACGGGGAGGGGGCTGGGAGCCCGGGAAGGGCGCAGTGAGAGCGCGCGTCTACCCCGAGGGGGCGCGGATGCACCGTCCCGCCTGTGTTGCATGGGGAACAGGAACCAGGGGTAGCTCTCTGGACATAGGTGGGATCGGGTCTATAGTTAAAGGAAAGGTACACGAGGCTTCCCTTAGCCTTTTTAGCTCTTCCTAGAGAAGAAGTCGACCTCTGAGAAGAGGGTGGGGGTGGACGGAGGAGCTAGCCTCCTGGCTTCTGTGCTTTTCAGGTCTCCGCTTGGCATGCAAATCCTTCATTGATTTACTCAATAAATATTGAGACAGGGCTTACTCTAAATTGGCATCTTGTGAGAACTTTTGAGATGGTTCCCATAGACTCTTCATAGCAGGGAAGGACGTTGTCTGGGGAAGGAAGGTGCTGTTTTCTGGTCAGCATCTATAAGGTGAACGGTTAGGGAAACAAGTTACTCTCTCCTTCCCTCCCTTTAAAAGAAATGATAAAGTCGGGAAATGGAAAGAGGGGGCAAGAAACAAAAAAGATATGGAGAGCCAGTCCAGAGACATGCAGGCATAACTGTGGTTTGCGAGGCATCCATTGCTTTCAGGGTCTCCCAGGTTCAGAACTGGCCCTCGAATTCGCTTTGATTTGCCCAAAAAAGAATGTTCTGCTTTCCCCCACCTCATCCCCATATCCCCATTCCTCACTCCTTTGCACACTGCCCTCCTTGTGAGCCATATTGGGAAAATCTTCAATAAAAAATTCTGGAAGACTGGGGCAACAGGCTAGGAGAAGAGCAAAGTCAAAGCCAAAGACTGGGGTGAGGGGAGCGATTGGCACATTATCACCTTCGGGCAGGCCCCTAGATGAGGCTACTTTGGCAGTAGTGACTTTAAGCTTCAGGGCCCTTGAAACATCCATTATCAACTCGGCTTTAAAATGACATTGAACTTTCTTCCATCGATTGGTTAGGGGAGGATCAGTCTGGAAGATAAATCTATATTAATGTCACTGTAATTCACACTCAAGTAAGGCCATATGATGGAAACCTGCACTTCCTCCACTTTGAGCTGCAGGAAGAGAAAGGGGCCCTGTGATGGTGTTGGTGCTAGAGGTGGGGTGGTCTGCTGGTTCTGTGATGCACTGAGACACCAAGGAAGGAGAAAAGTTTGTGTGTGTGTGTGTGTGTGTGTGTGTGTGTGTGTGTGTGTTTACACCATTAGCAGTTTTGTGTAGTGACAACTCCAGAAAGATTGAAAAGGGCTGCCTTATGTTTATACACAACCAGTCTCTTACCTGTAAGTTTCCCTCATGCAGTAACAGTAACAGAGGAATGTAGGAGGGAGCCGTCTGGGAGCTCCCCCCCCTCCCCGGGGAGGCAGAGACTCCTAGTCTGGAGCATGCTGTGATACTTTCTATCCTGGAGTCTAGGAAATAGAGAATCCTTGTCTTACAGCTGGAAGGGAATGCAGAGGCCATCTAATCCACCTCCCCTCTCCTTTTATCAGGAAACAAAGGCCCGCAGAGATGAAGTTGTTTGCTTAAGGTCACACAGTCTGTGGAGTAGCCAGAATTTGAAATCTTTGTTCTTTGGCCATAAATGCAGCACTTTTCCTACTATACCATCTATAGATTGCATTTCCTTCCGGAGGGGAGGGCAGGACCTCTTAGGGCAGGGATTCTTAACCTTCTTTGTGTTGTGGATCCATTTGGTGGGCTGGTGAAGTCTATGGACCCTTTCTCAGAATAATAGTTTTAAATACATAAAATAAAAAGAAAATCAATTCTAATGAAAAATTTCTCAATTTTTTAGATCCCCTGACCCTATGAAATTTGTTTATTGATCCTTCAGGATTAAGAACTCCTGTATTAGAGGGTCCAGAAAGGCCAAGGTAAAAGCTAGTGTTGGATACAGTTAGACAAGATAAAAGCCCATATTGTGGCTAGTTAAGTCAAGTCAAAAGTCCTTGAAGGATTTTATTTGACCTGTGCAGAAACCTTTATTGGATATCACTAAACCTCTGTAGGAACCTTTAATGGTACAGTTTGGCCAGGGCAGTAATCCAGGGTGAAGTTTGATGGGAATTTATAATGGATCTAGGAAGAGAAAGGCAGGAACAGTTAAAGTGATTCAGGAACCTTTAATGGGCCCATTCTTAACAGGGCAGGAACCCTTAGTGGATCTAGCTAGTGGGCCTTATGAGGGCAGGGGCCAGGAATCTTAGTGGTTCTGGCAAGGGCAGGGACCTGGAACCTTAGTTCAGAGTTCTCAACTTACAATCTATGAACTTAATTTTTAAAAATATTTTAATTTTATTTCAATATACTTAGTTTCCTTCATACTCCTATGTATATTGTTTTATGCCTTTAAAAATGTTATTCTGAAATGGTGCTTATAAGCTTTTCTATATTGCCAAGGGATCTATGATGCCACAAAAAATGTTAAGTGCCCCTGCTGTGTTTCTGGTTAGGGCTGAGCTGGAACCCTTGGTATGTCTAGTTAAGTCAGGGCAAGAACTCTTGGTGGGCTCATTTCCCCAGAAGTCTTGGAACAGGATTTTCACTCAAATCTGTGAAATACCCCCCATACCTGCATGCTGTGCTGTTTAAATCTTTATGTGGTCTTCCAAAATTCTCTTTGAGAGAGCATAGGGCATCATCCTTATTTCATAAGCTCTTTCTCATCATACACACAACTCAGTGATTTTCCTTCTGAAGTGATTTTGCAATGAGACTTATGGTTCTTCTGTCCTTTTCTATTCCTCCAGGGTGGGGGAGGAAGAGAAAGAGAATAGGGGAAACAGGGAAAAGTTGAGTTGAAGCTTAATCTTGGCTATTTCATCAATGTGACTCATCACCGCAGAACAGTGTATCCCTGTAAGAGCATACAGCTCCATTGAAATCTATTTGCCAGGGTGTTATGGGCTGTTTTATGGGGAGAACTAGAGGATTATATAAAAACATTGGCAACATGCTGGGGTTGTATAACATCATGATAACTGGCGCTCAGCTGCTAAGGGCTTCCCTTCCTCATCCTTCAAGGTGAGAGGGACCCAAGGTGTATGATGACAGGAAAGCCCAGACACTTGGCTCTATATTCCTAATAGAAAGAAACCATTAACTTAGAGAGTGAAAGAGTAGCCTAATCTTCTGTCTCTATAGCAAGCACAGAGAGCTTCTCTTAAGAGACTATAAGAATTCAGGTCATTGTTTGGAAGGTTACCCAGTGAAAAATATTAAGGAAGCAAGCAAGCAGAGTTCCCTTCTCTCAGAGCCCTTCTTTAGGGTCACATGTGACTTGACTTACCTCAACTAAGATGGGGCCTTTTTTTGGGACCACATTCACATCCCAGAATGCTGTAACAATTGCACCCCCACCTCCTTTAAGCCCTAAAAGACAAAATGACCTAAATATAAAAATTCACATCATTAAAAATGGAAGAAAATGGATAGTACCACCTTTCATAACTATGTCTGGGGAAAATTCTTAGCACAACTAGGGAAATGAGAGAATTCAAAAGATGAAACAGACAATCCCTGTTACATGAAATTGAAAAGCTTTTGCTTGAACAAAATCAATGCAGCTAGGCTAAAAAGCAAAACTGCTTATTAGGAATTTTTATTGACTATCTTTTGTTTTTGTTCATTTCATTTTTAAAATTTCATAATGCTAATCTTAACTCTGACATCTAGCCTGCTATGTGGAAGGAAAAGGAAAGTGAAATCCATAGAGAATTGCAGCAAGTGAGAGCACAAGGATTACAAGGTTTGAGGGTAGACTGGAGTGGTGGTGGGAGGGTTCTCTCCCTGACTATAGGGAAATGGTTTGGCGATTGAGACAAAAATGAAACAAAAGTTATGAAAATTGTTCATAGACAGCAATGCATTTCAGAATGAAGCCCTCATCCACAAATTTTACCCCATAGATAGACAAGTCACTAGTGCCACTATGGTGTTGAAGTCACTATGCTAACACATAAATACAGTAATGACTCTGTAAAAGCATGACCTCTTGTAATGATTCCCTTCTCTCCAGTGCTCAGAGAACAGAAGTTTCCTCCTGTCTTTGGACCTGGTATGCAAATAACTGGAATGTAGCTCTGCCTAGAGGCTACTTATCAATGGTGAGGTCAGAGTATATTATGGGTTTGACTTGGCCATGGATGGCTGGTCCAAGAGCAATACCAGAGGAGAGAGTAGAGGTGGCATAGGCATCTGGCAGTCTAGGCTTTCAGTAGCGGTGGCTGCAAAACCCATCGAACGTCTCTGATAAAATTCTGCTAGCAAATACATTTAGAAATTTAAGACAAATATGAAAGACCAAGAGCCATTCCCCCAGTGAATAGTTGGATAAAAGATATGAAAAAAAAACAGTTCTCAAAAGAATTACAAACCATTAAAATAATAGTAAAGATTGCTCTATGTAAATAATCATAAGAGAAATTTATATTAGTCTCAGATTTCCCCTGACACCCTGAAATTAGCAAAGAAGGGGCTATAGGAAGACAAGCATACCATTACCCTGTTGGTGGAGCTGTGAACTGGTCCAGACATTCTAGAAAGCAATTTGGAATACCTAAAAGTTACTAAAGTACATACCCCTTGGCCTAAAGATCCCATTGGCATATATGTTCAAATAAATTAAAATCATAAGGAAAGCTTCCATTTACACCAAAATATGTTAGCATTGGTACTTTTTGTCATAGAAAAGAATAGAAATACAGTATATGCACATCATGTGGGAAATAGATTTTTTAAAAATTGTGTGTAATATTAATTAATGAACAATAATAATAGTTAGCATTTATATAGCCCTTTAAGGTTTGCAAAGTACTTTACAAATAGCTCATTTGATCCTCACAATAACCCTAGAAGGCAAGTGTTATTATTATCCCCATTTTACAGATGGGGAAACTGAGACAGACAGAAGTTAAGTGACTTGCTCTGGGTCACACTGCTAGTAA